TCTTCTTGTCATCATCATCATCAGGCGGATCTGGAGGATCATACCCCGTGCCGGTACCTTCATCATGCTCGTCCTCTCCGTTCTCGTCGCCAGCTTCATCACCGTCATCGTCTCCATTGTTTTCCTGAATCGTTTCAGCGAATAATCTCCACTCATCACGATCAGCTCTGAGACGTTGTTCGGCTTTCTGAGCCTGGAGTACTTCACTTCGCAGATCAGCAATCTTCTCCTCGTACTGTTCCGCGATTTCTTTCTCGATCTGACGTCTTCTTGCTTCATGAATGGAATCGTCATAGGCAATGGGGGGACCAACGAGGTCGTTGCCCTTAGTAGATGCGGTGACACCGTCGATGCCAACAGGTCTTGAGGAGCTGGCCGATGCTGTGGACTTCGATCCCAACATCCCGCGATCCCCCAAGAGTTCGCGTAGCTGTCGATCACGCACGTCTGCCGCATCACTTTTCCCATGAAATCCGCTTGGTATGCCGAACAAAGTGGCTGCACTAGGCGTGGAACGCGCAAGTGCTGGGCTGCTAATACCTGGCACGTGGTGCTCGGGCATTGCATCCGCCACGATTGGCATCGAACTGCGGCCAGTGAAGAAGTTTCCACCGGTGAATGGAATTCCGCCCATCACAAGGTTCTTGTCCTTGTCCGATTCCGAGAATGCGAACTTCTCTTTGGCGACTGGACTAACTTGACTTGGGGACCGTATTTCAGGGGATCGTACCTCATCTCCTACGGAAAATGCAGGCATTACTTCCTTTCCTACGTGCTCCAAGCCAGACTCAGTAGTCCTCGAAGACATGGGCATGCTCGAAGGTCGCGTCGCTCCTCCTTGATTGGAGTTTCGCGCTGCCTCCAATTCGCTGCGTGTCCTCGCATGAAGATCTTCTTGTGCTTTGAGCGTTTTCCTGAGTTCACTCAGCTCGTCGTGCAAGGTAGGCAATGATCGCCTTGCATGATCTTCATTCTGATGAAGTCGGTCCTCTGCTTCTTGCCTCCTCTTCACAGCCATTTTGCGGTACTCTTCCTCTTCACCAAGACGTTCGCGAAGCCGAAATCGTTCTTGTTCAATGGCTGCGCTGTTTCCAGCTAGCCCTTTGATCTCGTTCACAGCCCGCAACTCCTGGTTCTTGACCAAGTGGAATCGTTCCTGCATTGCTTGTAAGGCTTGTTCCGAACTTGCTGTGTTTGACCGGAGGACCAAGTTCTCTCTGGCGTGTTCATGAAGTTCATGAGTCAGACGCTCATACTCACGTGCCATAAGCTCACCATCACCTTGCGCTCTTGCCTCTAACTGCACAAAGTTGGTGGCTGCCTCCGTGCGGAACACGTGTAGCTGTTGAGCTAAATCCTCGGCAACGGCATGTGCTTGACGTTGTTGAGCAGATTTCTGCTCATCCATGTGAAACAAAGCTGTTTCATAGTCTCGCTTCATCTCCTGATTGACATTGTTGATGTGCCTCATGGCTAAGCATGCATGGTCACGTTGTCGTTCCAATTCTTCAATGCGAAGTCCAGATCCTTCATCTTCTTGTTGCATCTCCTTGATCTTGTCCATCAGGGTCTGGACGATTCCTTCGTATTCTTGCACCTGACTGCGATAGTACATCTGCTGTGCAAGGTTCGATGCTTCGAACTGTTGCGAAATCGTCAGTTCCTGGTAGGCATTCGGACCGTCAGCTATTGCAGGCGTGGCCACGGATGACGCATCGCCACGTGCAGGAATCGTATCCAGAGTCATGTCCAGATCGTCAGTATCGCGTGGTTGATTGGTAACCATCCGATTCCAAGTCATGGACTTGTCACGCCCACGAGCAGCCGAAGTCCTCGATCGTGCTGAAGAGCTTCTCGAAGATGATGGTCTTGACTTCTTTTCCAAGGTCTTGACTCCTTTGTCCTTGGCCCTGGACGTAGTCCGAGGTGCCTGAAAACCAGACGCTTCGGCCCGTCGTTCTGAAGCCTTGCCCGTCCTCGAACCTGTGGATGTCGGACGCGAAGGCGTAGATGCTCTTGGTAGACTCTTTGCTTTTCCCTTGGGAACTGCCTTTGCAATGGCAAGCGCAGAAGATTGACCTTTGTCATCTTCCGTGGAGCTATCAACGGATTGCACCACTGTGTCATCAGCTGTTGACTCACCAACGGCTGGCGCTGCCACATCGGCACCGAAAGTCATTGTCGTATCTTGGCTTGATCCTGAGTTCATTGTGGTCGTAGTAGATCAAGTAGTCGTTGCTGTAGAAAGGCAAAGCCGCGTACGGCTGATAACCTGCGTGGGGGATTGATCTCGACTTGGTTGCTGCTCTCCCCACCAGAGCTGTAATGAATGTAGGTGTGGCTGGCTAGCACTCTCCACAGACTTGACCCTGTCTCTCCCTCTTACTTCCACACGTGCGATCCTATGCAGGCAGAACCGGCGGCCGTTCCTTTTGCACTCACTGCCGGCGGCGGTTCGTCTGTGCAACGGAATAGCTCTGATTGCTCAGGATAGAAGACACATATAGCACTTAGCTATGGGCATTGACTTGAGCCAAAACGTTGCGTTGGCGGTCACATAGAAAGGTAAAGATGAGGGATGCGTAGCATGCCCCCTAGAGTCGAGGGACGCGTAGCGTGCCCCCTTCTCTTGCACTTTACACGGTCTTGCTCACAGCTCTTATAGTGACACCTTAGAACATGACAAGGCATCGCAGTCCGTTCGCAAAATTGGTCCTGTGGCATCCCAAGGCCCAAGCATCTCTAGGAACCAAAAGTATACATAAACCAGAATCACGCAAGAGGAAACATACTAAAAAAAACAAGCTAAAAAAACCCTAAACCCTAATAGAGTATAGTTTGGGTGGCCGGGGTGGGTGGACCAGCGACGCGAGCGCGCGGCCCGGGGTGCTTCACACCCGAGCGCGCGCCCTCGCTTGACACACCCTATAGACCCTAAACCCTAAACCCTAGACCCTAGACCCTAGACCCCTAAACCCTAAACCCCCAAAAACTGAACCCTGAGCCGAGCGGCAAAGACCCCGGCTCCAGGCCATCCAGACGGACGAAGCCCTTTCTGGCGCTGGACGCCTCAGCCTGCACTTCGTATGGCCCAGAGACTCCAAAACCCTTCACTAAGGAATATACCTTACAGGGTTCCTTGAAGGGATCTATAAGGGAATGAAGTTGAATATACCTTAGAAGCTGCCCCCACCCTGTAATAGTGACTATAACATGATTATAGTAGGGCCCTATTATATTCCTATTATACCACTATTACAGGGTGGGGGCCCTTCTAAAATATGCCAATAAGGTTCCTTAAATGGATCTATAAGGGAACTAAGGAATATACCTTAAAGTACAGCGGTTGCTGTTAGGGTAGCAGTGATAAGACTGTGCCATTCCCTGTGGTAGGGTTTCCGGTATCATTGTCTGAAGCTTTCGGGTTGACAATTTGGGAGTTTCCGAAAATAGGGGACCCTAATATAGTACCCTAAATCGTAGGATCCTGATTATACGGACCCCCAAAATAAGGTGCCCCCTATTTTTCGGAAACTCCCATTTGAAGCTTGATCTAATACTAAGACCTTTTTCTTACGGCTGAGGGAGGAGGAGCGGAGCTGAGCGGGCATGGCCACGAAGAGTCTCAGTAGTTAGACCCTTGGCCCTAAGCTGTGAACCTGATGGTCTGGGGTTCAAAAGCCCCGACAGCTTAGAGTTTGGGGTTTTGGGCTGAACGATACTTCATCTAGCGCAGATGTAGGCTGTCAGCGATTCGGGATATCTACGTCAAGGGACATGCGATCTTCTGAGCAGCAGAAGCCTACCTGCAAGCCAGAAATACCCGAAAAAAGGCAAGTACAATCCTCAAACCTTCAAGCTCCCAAAACCTAAATCCTGCACCTCCGAAGCCCAAAGAATAAAAGCCCCAAGTCTCAAAAAGCGCTAGAAAGCCAAACTCCAAACCCCTAAACCCAAACCCCCAAACCCCTGAACCCCATGGGCAGTTGTCAAAATTATGATCCTTTTTTGGGTACCCTAACTATTAGGTGCCGTCTATGTTAGGGACCCAAAAAGGGACCCTTATCTTGACAACCACCCCCATAACTAACGCCCCTCTAAAGGTTCGGTCCGGCCTGGCTCTCACCCTGCCTCAGGGCCGTGTAGAAGCGCACGAAGTCCATCTCTGCCGTGTGGTCCAGGGGGTCTTCCTTCTCGCTTAAGGGCTTATTGCTGTTTCTTTTCGAAGGCCCTTTTCCTCCCTGCCACAGTCGGAATACCTAGCAGGTAGGGCTTATGGGGTTTAGGGCCTAGGGTTTAGGACAGGGTTTCGTCCTGTTCTTGGGCAACGAGTTCGGGCTTCACCCTAGAAAGGTCTGGGGTTCTGGGGCTTCAGGGGTTAAGGGGTTCGGAGGTGAGGGTGTAGGCTGTAGCGGACACGAGTATAAACCCCAACTAGGAAAAGTCAATTTGGGACCCCTGAAGTCAGGTACTCTTATAAGTTCTAGGAAAACTTGGGACCCCTGAGGTAAGGTACCCCTATAAGTTCAGAATCCCTCCCCTAACTTACAGTGCATTGCCTGTGCACCCGTGGCCCAAAAAGCCTGCCCATTGAGGCAGAGGGTTTAGGGTTTAGGGTTTAGGGTTTAGGGTTTAGGGTGCAGATATCTGAAGAAACCATAAGAAGGAAGCCCGAAAAGGTAGGTTCTATCGCTACAGATAGTGTCGAAATCCATAGAAAAAACAAAAACCATAAGAAGGCAGCCCAAAAAGGTAGGTTCTTTCGCTACAGATAGTGTCGAAATCCATAACAAAACCGGCAGGCCTAAGGGCTAGGGGTTCAGGGCTCTCGCTCCACTTCGGGGCCTGGATAGCGAGAATGGGCGGGTAATCACAATACACTTATGACAAGGAAGTCTAAGGAATAATGCTTGTTGTTGTTGTTGGTCGGACTCCAGAGCCCTCATTAGGGCGCGTCCAAAACTGGTTAATTCTGTACATGCACGTGAAAAGAAGGCTCCTCAAAAAAAGGACGTAGGCTTGCGCTGCCAGTAGCGCACAGCCGTAGTCCTGGGCCCCTCTTGTGACTTGCCCGCTATATACGCCTCAATCCAGGTGACCGTGGATGCCTGAGGAGTGTAGGGGCGTGCGAGGGTGGAGAGAGGCTGTTGTTCGTCGAGGACGATGCCCGAGCAGCGCTCAAGGGCGGTAGGCCAAAGAGGGCCAAAAGTGAGAGGAGCAGGCGCAGGGTGTGCACGCGGCTTGAAAGCACGCCAGCAACCAGCTTTGACGGTTTTGGCGCGCTTCTTAGCTGGTGCCTCGACCTGCGCAATTTGTTCTTTGGTCAGAGGCGGATGTAAATAGCAGCACCGAAGGAGGCAGCGACTGGAAGACTTGAGATGCTGCTGGACTTGAGCAACGTCCCCGAAGTATTTGCCACAAGCACTGCAAGCCTCAGAGATAGCGAAGTGCCGAGCCGGACTGAGCCAACCATGTGATTTCGCTAAATGAAGATGCAAATGCTTTCGAAGGACAAAAGCCTTATCACACAGCCAACAACGGTATGCCCTATCAGCAGATGAGTGGGGAAGGGACACAGACACTCCAGAGACTGCATCTCGGGCGATGTGTCCGGTATGCCATGCCTGCAGGTCCTGAAAAAACAACTTCTCGACACGTCGAAGAGTTTGCGGCCACCACTGAGGATTGTCACGTGAAGCTTCGACAAGTCCTGCAACTTCCTTGCCTGCAGCAAGGACATTCCGGAGGTCGGGCAAGAAGATGGCAGCATACGCAACATCGGCTCGCAACTGATCAAGCCATGAGGAGGCCGGATGAAGCAGGTAGTGGTCAACAAGGAGCGCGGCCAAGTCCAGGGGGCCACGGGAGAAGAGTTTGGAAAGGAACTGCGCACGCGATTTGGCCAGCGCAAGCGGGGGCGCAACGGCCGACGCTCGGAAGAGGACGGCGAGGGAGTGTTCCTGTTGTTCGGGCGCGGTGCGGCGAAAGAGATTCCGCCAAAGCCGCACGTACTGCCTCTCCCATACTCGCATGTGGCAAGCAGCACGTACAATGAGCGCTGCCCCGGTATGCGTGTATTTGGAAATGACTAGCGCACCAAGCAGCGCCCTGCGCACTGTCAGTGTGAACTGTTTAGAGCCAAAGAAAACCTGACGGAGAGGGCGTGCAGTACCTTCGGCTCTAGAGAATCGATGATAGAGATCAGGCAGGGGCGAAGAGTTGGAGGTAATCACACCTCCAAGGTGTTTGTACACGCTGACAAGTGGCAAGAAACAGGTCGCACCGGTGCACTTGTCGCTGACATGAAGGCACAATCCACCCTCATCATCAACGCTGAGTAGGCGCTCCGAATTCTTCTTCACTGTTTCCGGCAGGAGGAGAGCAGTTTTATCGGGGCCGAACTTCAAGCACATGCCAATGCTAGAGGCATGGGAAAGGAGGATAGAGGTGCCAACCTGGGCGGTTTCAACAAGTGCATCGGAGGACGGTGCCGTAATGGGCCAAGTAAAGTCGTCGGCCCAAGCAGGATTGCCAATGGTGACAGAGTCCGGTCCATCGAACCAGGCTGGCCTCCGATCAGGAGCTGGGAGGGAATGCATGAGCCCTGCATCCGACAAAAGTTGGTTCACCCGTCGAAGATAAGCAGCCAGGGTAAAGGCAAACAGAAGGTCTGCCAGCGGGTCCCCTGGGCGACTGCCCCGATGTGTGAGGATAAGGGCAGAGTGAGTACTTAGCCTAAACCAGCTGCCGACAAACAAGTCCCTGACGAGCTCGACTTGATGCACACCCACACCCTGAAGTGGCAGCTCGGAGGCAACAAGGAGGTGTGCATGCAACTCTTCGATAGCATCCGGAGGCAGCTGCAAGGCATGCAACAACGAAAGGAACCCTTGGTCAGTGTCAGGATTAGGGACTAGGCTCTGTCTCACGACCGTGTAGAAGGCCGCGGCAAGATCAACAAAGAGCACCGCCCACGGTAGACGGAGACCATCGAGCAGGGCAGCAAAGCTGCGGACGGCGAGTGCTGGAGTCTCGATGCCAACTCCGTCGCGAACCCGAAATTGCATGGAAGGTTGGGTAGAGAGAAGATGCGGCTTAAGGCCGGCCCGGAGACACCTGTGATATACCTTTGCTGGTACGCAGGACA